CCCCCCCCCCCCCGCGCCCTGCTTCTGGTTCATCCTTGTGAAATATAGCCTGGGCCGGCGAAAACCCGGCTATTGCTCCGTCCCGGTATTGTAGGGACGCGAGGTCAATGGTCTAACGACTTTGCCATGCGTGTACATGAGGACACCCAGACTCCCCTCCCCCCGGTCGTACCCAACACCACACCCCTACCCGTGGTGAATATGCCTTCCCGTGCCCCAGATCCCCGGAAAGTACGGCCCCAGACGCCTCCAAAAGGTTTGCGCTGGAGGCACCTTCGGCGAGGTGGGTTTTTTCCTCAGGACACCGCAGGCGTTTCGCGCCGTCGCCAGGGAGCCGTGCCACCTGCACACCCTCGACAGGGCGGGCATGGCGGCGATGCAGGTAGGCCTGCCTTTTGGCGTTTTGGTGTCTTAATTCCGATCAACACCGTCCTTCTGATATTTCGCGATGACTTCGCCCCAGCGAGCGGCAGACTCCGTCAGACATACCCTCATTGATGGTCGTTTTGTGTGCCTTGGCGGCAATTCCCCCCACCCCCCGGTTTTGAAGAGCGTAGTCGTACCGCCGCTAGAGTACGCCGGAGAAGTATGAGAAGGAAATAAGAAGGTAGTGAAAGAACTCGAGGCGGCGCAGATGAAAGCAGCGAAAATCATCCTAGGATGCTCCAAGCGCACAAGTAATGCAGCCGTCAAGGCAGAATTGGGGATCCAATCCCTACGGTCGGGAAGAGACGCGAGGAAGCTGACATTGCAGTATCGCATGTGCGGGATGGGAGAGGAGAGGTTGCCGAGAATTGTATGGGACGCGAAGTGGGCCAACAAAAAGAGGGGTAGACAACCCGCGGAAAGGGTCAAGGTTGTAGAGGACGTATGGAAGGGGCTCGACATCGGCGAAGATGAAACGCTGGAAACGGAGGGTCTACAGGGGTTCAAGGAGAAGATATCTGTTGCTTGTGCCGAGAGAGAAGAACAGAATCTGAGGAAAGAATCCAAGGATAAGGAGGGTCTAGAAGTGTACGGAATGTTGAAGGAAGGAATAGGGTTCAAGGACTACCTACATGGACCAATGGATGCAGGAACAAAGCTTAAGGTCAAATTCAGGACCGGGGACATAGGCCTTCGAGAATGTCGACGAAGACATAGCACGGTTGACGAGGAAGACGACGAGTTTAAACTTGATTGCGGCTTCGAATGCGAAGACCGTGTTCATGTAGTAGCGGAATGTCCGTTGTACAAGAAGGGGAGGGAGGTGTACGTGACTGAGCTGGGAAAAATAGATGGAACGTACAGGGAGATGTTTGAGGCATGGAATAGAGAGGAAAGGACGGTAGCTGTACTGGGGCATAGGAGGTGGGTTGAAAAGGCGGGAAGGGATATCGTTAAGATAGACAGACTAGAGAAGACATTTTTGA